CTCCTTCCTTCTTCCTCTAGCTCCTCCGGGGACAGGCGTGTTGCCAAATTTCCTGATCAACCGGAAGGCCACTTACGAAGCTGCGTCCCATTTGCTGTTTTCCTTCTCCGACAATCTTGAATTGTATAGACGCTCCTCCGGCAGTCGGTAACGACAAACGGCCCTTGTGAATAAGGAATTTGTCGCTGTACTTGGCCTCCACCCACATGTTTACAATTATTTTATAATTTCTCTACAACCTGTGCACTGATGTATGGCACACAAAAAAACGGTGAAAAGGTATCAAAAATTGTCTGTTCTTTTACTGATCTTTGTGCCTATGGGGAATGTTCATGCCTTTTGACTTGCAGTTTTGTGCCTATTCCTGTCCTCAAGGGCGGTCAAGTTTTCTCGAGCTCTCCTTTTTTCTCCAGCTCCTCCGGAGACAACCGTGTTGCCGGCCACAACCCAGTTTTCTGATCAACCAGGAGGCCCGGATTTCGACCGTACATCAGCATAAACAGGGAATTGCCTGTTGTTGGCTGTATGGAAGCACGATGAACAAGCAACACCATTGGCAAGTTCACTTCCCAGGCACCTCCTCTGGCCGCACCCGCTTAGGCGTGCTCAAAACTGCGGCATCCACACTTTCTTTGCAGTGTTCTTCAGGTTTTGTTGATAATGTAGTTATATTTTAGGAAGAAAATGCTGCGTTGTAAATAAAAAATCATAAAATCATGATAGTTTTTAACCACATGAATTTTTTGCCCGTTTTTCAGTGGTGTGATCTGTGTAAGTTGTTTCTTTCGCATTCTGTTGAATATCGCAATAAAGAGCAATTATCTTCTTGTTCAAAATGGGTAGCGTAAGCTTAAGAATGAGTTTTTATCAGAGTTTGTTACCGTTAGCTTGGGTTGTAATCAAGCCACCCTGATATTCATCTGTGGTTGAGTAAGGAAGCTGCAAGCCACAAAACACTATTTGAGGTGGCGTTTAGTTACAGCGAACTAAACATTTTAACTTATGATGAAATCCTTGAGAGCAAACTGCCTGAAAAAATGTTATTGAAATATTTTGTTACACAATGAAAACACTTATATAATATATTCGGTGTAGTACTCAACTGCAATATGTGGTATTACCAAAAACTTTGATTTTGTCATTTAATTTGATGTTTTACGTAATAAGGTGTTGCTCCGCGATTGTTTCAGACTTCAATCAGTTCTGTATTCGAAAAACTGAGAATTTTGGGAGTTGTGCTATTTTAGGCTGATAAAAGATTACCCACTTACCGATTTGGTTTATTCTTTGACATATCGGATATGGAATAAGCTGGATGAATGCTTAGTGTTATATGAGCTTCTAAACTCAGTGCAGTTTACCGCAAAAGCTATTAAAATTAAATCATTTCTTGCCGACGAAACTTAAAGTTTCATAAATATTTCTTATTATAGTTTAACGGAGAAAGATCTTGAACATTCGTAACCTGAAATTTCAGCGACGTGAATTTGACAAGTGAATGCGCGTTTGAGGCGTTAGGCGCAACCAGGTTTCATAAGTATAAAATGTAAAATTAGAAATATATCTAAGGAAAAAATTGGTGTTTTGCGTAAATGAAAATGGAAAACAAGCGTGCTTGTTAAGCAACAACGTGATTCGTTTCCTGAGTTCTACGAAGAGACTAAAGGACATGGCCTAGGGGGAGCAGAAAATGTGCGCGCACATTGTGAGCAACATTTTTTTAGAGCTGTCAAAAAACGGATGCAACATATATTAGAGGACCTCAATATAACTCTAGCCTACCTTGAAGGTCAAAGTTAGAAAAACACACTGACGGTGGCCTTTGAAGCAAAAAAGGTGAAAATGAGGATGCAGCGAAAACCAATTAAACGCTTTGACAAACAATTCTGCTAACTGCAAAGATCTGGGAAAATTGTCTTCATCTTATGAACGCAAACTATTGAAAAGAGCAGCTAGAGAATAGTACACGTGTTCGTTTGTACATACTCCATAGGCGAAGACTGCAGCACAGTAGATTTACACAGTGAAGCGTGTGTTTATAACTAAGTCTAGTTGTACTTACGCATGAAAACAGCGCCTTTCACTCTGTAGACAACGGTATCTGCCAGGATGTTCATGACCAACTCAAGAAATCGAACGTTAAGGATGAAAGTAAAAGAATCCACTGTGGACATGTGGCCTGGAATTTTAGCTGTCTTGGTGAACAAACCAATTCTGTAGACATATGTCTGCGCCTGTAAAATGAGACAACCTAATGCTCTATTAACCGCATGGTTAGATTTGCTGTCAAACATATTTCTAGATAAAGTTATCTCTAGATAAATTATAGCCTTAATTGCTAAAGTCTACTCAGGTGCATCAAACCGCACATTGTAGAAAAAAACCGAAAAAAAGTGATAAGTGAATGCACTAGCTTCCTCATAAAGAAGTGCATTTGTTACTGATCAGCGTCATCTGTTGCACTTTTGACAGAGTGTTTTGAACATAGGATTAATATGTTCAGAAATAATTTATTTTTCAGTTGTTTTCCAATCTCCTTTAAAGCAGGGTCAGCTTTTCAGGTGATAGTTACAACGTACATAACCTAGGCCCTAGCGAATTTTTGTGCCCTACAAAGTTGCTTATAGACGCTATGGTGAATATTGATGAACGCAATCGGTTTAGAAGTGTCTAAGACATAGCTGACGAAATATTTTTCATTTATTTGCATTTTTATGAACAAAACTACGCCAGTAACTAGTCTTGGGTTCGCCAGTTGTTGGTGTGTAAATTATGTCCGTTTTGATCGTGCATACCATGTAGCCTATCAACAATGCTATGGATTTAAATAAGAAACGTCTTAGAGCAGACTCAACTTTGAGCAATGCAAGTTTTTGATTTCTGTTGGTCAGGGAGTTAATCTTATTGATTTTTATGGTACTTCTTACAAGACCTAGAATACACTTTCAGGAAAGGCCCATGGCCCTGCCGGGTATAATAGCTTAGGAAACGATGCTCCCGGTTTTGCCAAAACCTCTCGAGTCTGATCTTGTGCCAGTAGGAAATAGAGTTGTCCTAAGATAAATAGCTACCTGATAACACGTGTTTGTTAGTTGTGTTTCATGCGGTAAATCGAACTAGCTGTTCGATACGCTTAGGTTACCACGTGATAGATGCTAATCAATTTTCGAAACCATAATTTTCCCTTGATAATGGCATCTTAGAGCTATTAGACCCCAAAAATGCATTTTGCTCATGCACTGGTTCGGCTTAATTCTCCTCCATGACGAATTCGGCTACCTGGTCTGCTTAATAAGATCTACACTCTAGCGTCTGAACACTGGGCAACAATATCATTGCAGAATTTCAACCGGTCTTGCCGGTTAACTAGTAATTTCGCCTGCTCTGGTTCACACAAAACTGATGGACTTACGTAATCGCAATAGCACTGAGCGAAGTTAACAGCAGTCAGCGTGATTTTCCATTACACTTCCTGATGAAGGGATAAACACTTCTTTGGATTGCTATATTCAGCTGAATCTCTATAAGGCTTGTAAAAGGAGGTAGCCTTCGCTGCGGAGTTGTTTATTTGGAAACACTAACTAAACAGTTACACACAATTGGACAGGAAAGCAAAACTATCATGTGCATCTTGTTTATAAAACATAAATGTCCATCTTCCTCTCAAACACAACTTCTGTAACCTTTTTACATATTTGTTGACTGTCGCACAACTGTAAAAAAATGCCACAAAGTAGTTCCGTAATAAACCCCACCTTCCATTAGATCAAACCGGAGTTACGAGAAAACCACACAATACTCGCATTGCAGCTGATCGATTCAGCCGCTGTTCGAGTGTATTATGCCACATACGAAGCCGAGTCCCACCTACTCTTTCGAACACCGATCGTCTTTAATTGTACAGAAATTTCTCCGGCAGTGAGTAACCTTGAACACAGCTGGCCATCGACTTCCAAGCATTAGGGACCCCAGTTCACTTCTTCCAGGCTTCTGAAGATCCTTATACTTTACCTCCACGCTTTGCCGTTCTCTGCCTAGTCCTTTCCTGAACGGCGATCAAACTTTCTTGAGATCTCCTTCCTTCTTCCTCTAGCTCCTCTGGAGACAGGCGTGTTGCCGGCCACAACCCAAATTTCCTGATCAACCGGAAGGCCACTTACGAAGCTGCGTCCCATTTACTGTTT